AATATATATAAATATTACAAATAAATTTTTTTTTTTTCGTTGGCGGTCACCCATCTTGACATTAGTCGCGAGGGAGTGCAGCTTGACTTGGAAAAGCTACCGGCGAGTCACCCTACCCGCTCCACAGTTCTCCCAGGACGAAAAAAAAATGCATTCTTATGTTATTTAAAGTTAGAATAATTATAGTAAATTTACTATAGTCGTTTGACACAAAATAGTCACTTCTAAGTGTCACGGTGTTATAAATGGTTAAATTAAAATCCACAATTGAATCGAAATGTTACACGATCGAATAAAAAACCAGAATAAATTGAATTATTCGACGAACCACTTTTGCATGTTATTCAACGAAGAACAGTAATCGTACACAGGACAACCGACAGTTTAAAATTTACGAGCACGCGAGCAACTCGTTAAGTTAAACAAAACTTAACTTCTTCTTTAAAAAATAAAATTATAGAATTCCAATTTTCCATTCGTTTGAAAACGAAAAATACAATAGGACTGATATCACAATGAAACTTGCCTAATCTGATGGTCCCCTAATCTTATTTCGTCGCTTTTGACGAAGACTTTTACGGTTCAAGTAACATTCAAGAACTTTGACGATATACTTACTTGCACAATACAAGAATAAGACGTTATTGGATCAAATTTAAAGACCGTATAAGTCCTTCGAAGAAAAAGATAGAACCGGAGCACATCTTCCTCGTACTTCGGTAAAATAGAGTGTTCATCGAGATATTAAGAAATAAATTTTCCAACTGTCATTTTCAATTTATCGCTCGAAAGTTCTATACAAGTTCCCTATTTCTTAATACATCAACATAGAAACGAGTACAAAAGTAAACGCTTCTTTTCTTTTCTTTTTTTCATTTAATATTCCAATTTTAATTTCACCTATTTTTATTCAAAATGTTCTTTCAATTTTAGAAATTTCTATAGCTTTATTTGAATCAAATACAATTCTTCCAATTTTAATTTTACGTTGTAGCTTTCATATATTAATATTTCTCCTACGTGCCCTTAAATTATTGTATTTTCCAAAGTAGTACAGATAAAAATTTGTAAAAATTTATTGAAAACTTCCTATAGTAGCTAAATTTTTTTAAACAAAAGGTTCATAATTTCCTTAGTAATGTGTTGAATTCCTCTGATATCGGTTCACTCTGACTCAAGAAAGATGCCGAAGCACGTTTGAAGCTGATTTACTATTTTTTGATTGCTCCGATGCAAAGTGATCACTGGCTGGAAAATTTGTGGTTAAAATTGCCTGGCGGATATTCTTATCTCGGTAATATTCATCTAAAACTTTGCGTTGTGCAACGAATTTTAATAGAACCGAGTGTTCTATTGTAATTGCCTGATAGGAACGTTCCAATCCAGAATTTCCTGACACATTGATGTATGATAAATACTCATACAGTTTTCAGGGTGAAAAGAGATCGATATTTATTTTTCCGCATTTTTGCATTCATTATCAAAGTTTAATCGCATCCGTTAAAATTCAGTCAAACTGAGAGTAACTATAGGAAAAAATGGAATTAAACGAGAATGATTAAACTTCACTGTGTCAAGTTCCTGTATAAAATTTTGAATTTAATAAACGAAATTGGAATTTCATCGACTTGAACGAAACGAACCGAGTTACATCGCACAATTTTGCATTTCGCGATTAAATTTACGAGCGGGTTAGTGTGTGTATACATCGAAAGAAATATCTAGGAGATTCTTGGAAGGCAAATAATGTTAAAATGTTGGAGAAAGGAAAGAAGGTTGGCTACTGAAAATTGTATTACCGGCTTTAGAAGACGTAAAATTTGAGGAAATCCAGCCTTCTCTATCTGCGGATAAGTGATTCTCTTCGTCTTATTACCATTTAGCTTTCATGGATCATTCGCTGCAGATTGCTATTGAAGCGGAAACAAATTACGATTTCATTCAATTCTCCTATTATTCGTTGCTTTAGTTTTGCATATTACTCGATAATTTCCAGATCCTCCTTTGAACATCGTAATTATTACGTTATAATAGATATAAAAGACTGAATAATGTACAAAGAAGAGGAAACTGAAAATGAAGGCTTGAAAAGAATTATTTTTCTCGTTGCATTATAAAAATTTTTATAAAAATATATCGTAGGTATGTTCAATTCTGCACAAATTTGATAGCTTTTACATGAAAAATCATTTTCAAAGGCTCGTGAAACAATGCATACGATCATAAAATTCTTGTATCCGTAATTGACACATTTACAATAAATTAGAAACTAACTTTACGCTAAGGAAAGTTAAGTTAAATGAAATTTATATAAAAATAACATTTAGACGAAGAAGGGTAGTATAAATAAAAATTTTTAGCGTAATATAAATAAACAAATTAAAATGTAATTACTGGACAAAGTATATACAATAAATTTGCATATTATGCAAATAGTTTGCTTAATCCATTCTAATGTTATACTTTGACAACGTTTTTTTGTTTAAAACATTTATTTAGTAATTTCTTACGTACCCTAAATCCAGATTCTAATCGTTAACACACATCTTGTTGCAGATATATGGCCATCATGAATCCATTGAGACCTCACATGGGCAAAAGAGCTACACTTTGCGTGGCAATCATCATTTGGATCGTAGGAGCTATGCTCTCGGTACCGATGTTGTTTTTCTACACAACATACACGGAAAACTTTGCAAACGGAGAAGTACGAGTGATCTGCTACGGCGATTTTCCCAACAGAGACCACAATGGTCTCAGTTACGACGAATACCTGTGAGCTTATCTTAATATGCAGTTGAAACACCAGTCTTGTCTCTCATATCGTGCATGCTAGTTGATTCTCATCGAAGGAACAGAAACACCTGACATGTACGCTTTGATTAATAAAAGTTCCACCCGGTAACTCGAACGTAACACGAACTTTAACAGAACATTGTCATTTTCAAACATTTAAAAACGGTGGAGGTAAATCTCTGAAAACATTATTTTTCAGAAAAATTAAGAATGGTGAGGGTAAATTTCGAAAACATTTTTTCCAAATATTAAGAACGATGGAGATAAATATCGAAAAACGTTATCTTTCTCAAAAATTAAAAAATGGTAGGGATAAATATCGAAAAACGTTATCGTCTCAAAAAATTAAGAATGATCGCGATAAACACCAGAAAACATTATCTTCCTGAAAAATTCAAAATTGGTAGGGGTAAATTTCGAAAAACGTTATTTTTTCAAAAAATTAAGAACAGTGGAAGTAAATTTCGAAAATTCTTTACCACCGTAACATAGAAACATGTCCCATAATCAACGCTAAAATTCCCTAATAAACTCGCTCGTTCCACTAACGAATTTACAACGTCTGGTCGATACGATACTAACTTTCACAAAGGAACGTAAATTAAATCACGCAATACTTTCCGCACGGACATAATACTTACGAACAGCAGTGTACATCAACCAGACAAAAGTCTGTCACGAGCACATAGTGCACATCGGTAAATATGATCATTATTGCGCTAAAACAGACAACTCGTTATTACGGTCATCCAACGGGGACGTGAATTGTGACCCAACGGTGATGTAACTGCAAAACTTTGTATAAACAGAAAATACATACGAGTGTTTTACGCGTGCCAGTTTACCAGACGTTTCAGCGAAATGAACGTTTTATTGTTCACAGGGCTTTGAAGTAGTATACAACGATTAGAAAATTGAGCACTGAGGTAATTAAGAAAATATATCGAAATACTTTTTGGTAAAGTTTCACGCACCAAACTTTTTACCCGATAAAATTCCATTTATCAACGATTAAACTTTATACACTGCACGTGACGTTATATTTTAATTAACGATCAATTCTACGGTAATATTCTTGTCGATACACCGACACCAGGGTTTGAATTTTAATTACACTTTGTCCATCGGAGAATTAACGACAAATTGTTGTTTCTAATCGGGTGATATCGATTTGACCAAACAACGCAGCGTCTTTGTACGAATTTTTTTACATCTAGAAATTTACGAAACTGTTACTTTTTAAGGTAGCGTTCAAATAAAATTACGAAAACGACTGCAGAGCTTTTGTAAAATGTTTTATTCGGGAAACATTGAGAACGTAAGAGTTTAATTAAATTTTAACGATAGTGGATGTAAAGGACTTGAAATCTGTCTGGAATAAAAAAGGTAATAGATAGATGGACGAAAACTGCTTTATGAAGAATTGTGCAAAAAATGGAGTATAATAACGTAAATCACTTCTTTTTAAAAAAACAACGCTTTGTTGTTACAGTGGATTTTTAATCTTATAATAATTTAAAGGGAAACACAAGCAGTAACTTATTTATTCCATTTTTATTTCATCTAAATTCTTTGTGTATCCAAAAACTTGTTAAAAATTGGATATTCAATATTTGCAATTCGTATACTTTTGGAAGATACAATTACATTTTCTTTAAGAATGAATTTTTATTATTGGAGAATTTTTTTGAAGAATTACAAAACACTTTGTGGCGGGTACGTCGTCGTCAACAAACCCTTACCGAACCTCGTTCTATTCTTCCACGCGAACTTTCTCGTTTCCAACTCCTTCAGATTTTAGTTTCCGTTCTTTTGTCTCTCCCCGGGTTAAGACTTGCCTTCGTCCTCGAGTGGCCTAAGAAGCGCACATGTGGCATCCAGGTTCGCACGAGGATGAACACCCGCTTTCTACGAATTTTCCGTTTCCACCACTTTCTCCACTTCTATCTTTATCTATCGCTACTCCTGTCTCCCTGTCCTAACAATATAAAAACCCAGTACGCCTACACCTCCGGACAGTTTTTCCTTTACCGACCATCGCGACGTACCCGCCGAACCGCTGCCGCCGGGACAAGTAACAAAATAAACGATTGTATTTTCTGGACCAGTTGTACGCCTATACGACCATACACTTATACTTTAATAAATTGAGGTGAAAACAGGGTAACGACGTTCCTCACCCACCTCAAATTTTTACCAAACACAGATATTTCTACGCAAAAGCTACTTTTAGCTTCAATTGCGTCGCATAATGGTACAAACGTAAAACAGATACATTTAAAAATGTATTACTCGGTACTCCTACAGAAGTAGTTTATTCGAAGTTAAAGCTCTTGTGTGTGTGGATATTTAAGAAATTACAAGGTTATTTTATAATAGTTTATCTACTTTTTCCTATGAAAAAGAATTCATTAAATTCATTTTATTTCATTCCATTTCCCAAAATTTCACTAAAATATATGTCATGTTCATGGTTGAACAGAACATGACAGTTCGTAGCGCTTTAATTTTGAAGCAACGCGTATTCGCAAACGCAAGGGATAGATTTACTGAAAATATACATGTACAGTAAAGTCTCCCACAGTGTCCACCAGTTTCGATTTTCACAGTGCCGATACACATGGTCCTACGCCTTGGCCTGCGTTATTCCTGCGCCTATGTTATCTTGCTCGCAGTCAGTCAAGAGTGTAGCACTACGTGACCCGATTTTTTTGACGAGATTTCATGGCTCCAAATACAAATTTTTTAATTTTACTTTTTTTTATCTGAAAACTTTTTTAACATATTGGTAAGATTTTTGTAATGAAAATGAAATCAAACATGATATAATTTGAACAACACTTATCGAGTGATTAATTTCATTTCATAATACATGTATCACTTTGGATGAATTACAAAACCGAATTGCGAGCAAAATACATTAAATATCTGTACACATTGTCCATCGAATATGGAGGGAGAGACACCGCTTGGTGGACAGTGTGAGAAGAGAGGCACTATTTGAGGACAATGTGGGGATAATTATTTTATTAAAGAAAATTTAAAAATCCTAATTACTTTATTAAAGCGTTTTTCAAATATCCTAATTATTTTATTAAAGTATATTTTACATATCTTCTTTTCTTCATAGTAAACAATGCACGTAAACAATGTTTTATTAGAAATCGTCAAAACCCAAAGACTATTGGCCAAATTGAAAAAGGGAAAAAAGGTTCTTGATTTCTAAATGATCGAGTAATAAATAACTTTCACAAAAAAATTCAAACCAATTGCCTGCTAAATTTACTTTTGTAAGTTGTATCACTCTTCTAGCGAACCTCACATTTTTAGCAAATAATACTTGAATCAGATTGTACCAATATTGCAAGAGTATTATGATTAAAATTTAAATGTCAAAATGGAATGGCTCTATCTTAATGCGAGATAACACGTAACTTATTACTTAAAGTTTCTCTGATATCTTGTAGAAGCATGATCAACAGCTTCCGTTTATCTTTCTGATCGAGCTGCATATACAGGGTGTCCCGTAATTCCTCGAACACCCGGAAATAGGGGGTTGGTGGGGTGACTCTGAACAACTTTTTCCTTTACCAAAATGTTGTTTGAAGCTTCATTTTTGAATTATTAACGAAAACCACTGGCCAATCAGAGCGCGTGTAGAGCCCACGCTCAGGGACGAAGAACAGAGGCTCATTCGCGCGCGATTCCGACTAATTGCAATTTTTTCCAAAATTTATACAAACGTGGGAATGACGGCAAAAAACCATTTCTCTAAGCCTTATAAAAATAACGGTGCAAAGTCAAAATTTTTTGACAGCGATCGATAACCGAGAAGTGACGCGTACGCATTTGTTCACGATCGCGCGCGGATGAGAGTCAGCGCTCCCGTGCCTGGGCGCGGGCTCTACGCGCGCTCTGATTGGCCGGTGTTTTTCGTTAATAATTCAAAAATGAAGCTTCAAACAACATTTTGGTAAAGGAAAAAGTTGTTCAGAGTCACCCCACCAACCCCCTATTTCCGGGTGTTCGAGGAATTACGGGACACCCTGTATAATACGTACACAGCAGATTGCTCGATAGAAAGCACCTGAAAGCCGCATTTTTAAAGCCTTATTACTTCAAAATAAAACGACGGCGATCACCTGAAAGCTGCATTCTTAAAGCCTCGTTACTTAAAAATAAAACGAGGTTAGATAAAAAATGCTTCCTTCGTCATCCTATATTTCCAGAATTATTGAGAGCTGTCGATGAGAATGGGTATTATCTCGCAAGATTCGTTCTTAGAATAAATGTTAATTCGTAATTCTTAGAAGATGGGATTACTGCGTAGAAAATTGAAAGATGTACGCTTTTATCGACATTTAATCTGTTCTCAGGTACAACGTGATTTTCACAATACTGACATACTTTTTGCCAATTGGGTCGATGACGTTCACATACGCCAGAATCGGTTTGGAATTATGGGGCTCGCAAAGTATTGGTGAAAACACTGCAGGACAATTGGAGAGTATAAGGAGTAAACGAAGGGTATGTAATATTTTCACTGAGTTCATGTATATGCATATATATCATACTTGAACAAAAACGTTAACTGATTATGAGCGAAAATTAATTACGCCACTACATTAACTTCCACGAGTTTCTGGCCTCTAGCTTCAACTTCGCCTTATTGGGTGCGTTTTAGTATTCAGAACTGAGCAATGCTTTAACTAAATTTAACGAAATTTTGTGAGAATTTCTTGAATCTTTAAAGATAAACAAACTTTATTGGGTATTGAAAAATACGGGACTTTCTGTTTATAATGAAAGTGAAATAAATGAAGATGATAATAAAAATTTTGAATAAGAAAGGCTGAAAGAGAAATTATTGCAAATATGAAGAACTCGATAATGAATAGTATATTTTATTTAAACAATAAACATTGAAATTTTAAGCTTCATATTGAACAGAAAAATTTTATTGAAATTTTTTAGGAAAACATCAATGAGACATAATGCAAGTGAATAAAGTGAAATGAAATAAATGGAAATGATACTAAAAAGAATGTAAAAGACTAAAAGAGAAATTATTGCAAATATGAAGAACTCGATAATGAATAGTATTTTTTTTTTAAACAATAAACATTGAAATTTCAAGTGTGACAGCAAACAGAATAATTTTATTTGAAATTTATAGGAAAACATTATTGAGACATAACTTTAAATTAAGTATAATAAGATGTATTACTAAATTTTGGTACAGAAACTCTGTTTCAAATGATTATACTTGATATTTCAAGAGAGATGTGTCACGTAATACTGTTTCAAATAAAATGCATTACAGCTCGTGAAAGGAAACGAAGGTAGAACAATAGATCTCCTTTATCGTGCATAGGAAACCCGCAGTGAAACTGTATAAACGATTTCAATTAATTAAACTTATGCAATTGCCGTTCACACCCCTCAGCGTTGTGTCTGTTAGGAAATGATAAGATAATCGCAGCAATTAGCAAGAAAAATTCGATATACGGGCAACATTTACTCGGGAATAATTTTAATTTACAAACCGTTGTCTTTACAGTAAATAATTTTTGTTAATTTCTAACTAACGTGAATTTGCACAAAATGAACTTTTAATATATAAAAAACTGATACGTGTAAAAATTGTTATTTATGTCGGAGAATTTACAATCTCAAATATGCCACGAGGAATTGCTTCGACTATGTTTACTATGTTTCGTTTACTGAAGTAACTTTCGCAACTGACGAAACTTCGTTAATAAAGTTTCTCTCTTGACTGAAGATTCAAAAATTTACATAAAAATTCCTCCATCGTGAAACACAGCTGAAGAGACTTCGTTGCACTCTTCATACTTTATACATGTTTATCTCGAAAACGACGATAAAGGAGTTGTTCAGAAATTAATAATAAAAAAAGTAAAAACGATAGTTTCGTATGAATTTTTTTAAACGTCGTGCTAAGTAACGTGCGTTCCAGTAGAGCGATATTAATTGCAAAAGGTACGAGTGGAACAGCATCAATTAGTTTTAAACGTGAGACACAAAAACGTTCAAACACGTGGCACAGTATTATGATATATCTACACGTGGGTGTGACAGCAGCTAACAGATTGAACATTAAGCCACGCTATAATTTCTAATTAGAAGGTCTACACCAGGATCGCCACTCCTGCACATAAACTGGATGAGCTTTCAATGCGTCAACAACTACCGATTTTTCTAAAGAATTTTTCCTTCGATGCAATTTCAAATTCTACACTTCACAGTAAAACTTTATTCTAATCTTCCTCATGATTTGAAGAAATGCAAAGGAAAAAAGAAAATTGACAAATAGACGGGAAAGTTCTTCTTATGAAATTTATTCTCTATGAAAATAATTTCTGTTACAAGTCCAAAGAATTTTTTCTTCGATACAATTTCAAATTCTACATTTCACAGTCAAACTTTATTCTAATCTTCCTCGTGATTTGAAGAAATGCAAAAAGAAAATTGACAAATAGACACAAAAGGTTCGCAAAAGACGAAACGTACAGGTTTATTGTTTACGAAAATAATTTCTACAACAAGTTGCTATTTTTCTCTGTCTATCTTATATTTGACGGATACTATCTCGATAAGAGGATTCAATGTGCTTCCTTATATCCCCCATTCCAGAAAATCATTCGCCTGATAAGACGTGATAATCTGAAAGGGCTGAGGTTTAATCAGTAGAGAACTCCACAACTCAACTCGAAAATGACATTCTTGATCGATGACGGTACATGCGACCGAGCGTTATCACGCAGAGAAATGACAAGTTATCATCTTTGTTGCGCGAAGCTTGAGGTGCTATCGCGGTTGATAATGCTCCACGCGTCTAGTATAGCGAACTGTGACAACGTTACCTCAATTGTAAATTGAATACAACTCGGCCGATTTGAAATTGCGTCGCGAATTATGCTTGGAATAAAATATAGATTTTTTTCTGAATTAAATTTCCGTGAGATATACATGTATACTTCTGTTTTGTAAGGATTAGGATACTTAGTGAATGTGAAGCAAATTGAAATAGTCATTGCAAAATTATTGAGGTCTTGAAAGAAATGATTCAGTTTGGAATCTTTCCAATTATTAACATATTCAGGATGGCAGTGTAATTTGGGAAATATTCGCTTACGATTTTTCTAAAGTCTTTATGACCATTAGACTGCGGATTTTTATGCATTTCTGGGAAACTCGAGGACCCAAAGATACACAGAATGCATATAACAAATAAAAATATGTAAATAAACCGAAAGTATAGTGTTTACTATGATATTTAGCGAATAAAACAGTTGTATAACTAGCTTCCATATTTTTAATTCTATTCAGAAAAATCCGCAGTCTAATTATCACTAATATTTCATTTTCTTCAGTTTCTAATCTTTTCTGTTTTCAAATATGCGCGTTTTTTCATAGAATATTATAGAATAATGTGGTCGCACGGTGACTCACATCCTCTTGAACGCGTTAATAGACCGATTAATGTTCTTTATTATTGCCGCATAAAATTTAATATTCTAAAAAATAATAATCCAATTGTGTTTCGATATACTAAGCATAAATTCACAACACAGACAAAAATAGAATAAATTTCCCCTAACTCAGAGCTAACACTGCAATAAACCAAACACGAAAAAGAAAAGAATGACTTTCGCCGACTAGCCGTTTAATTAAAACGAAAACGACCAGGAGAAAAAGGCTCGGAGAGCATTCTCTGCACAGGTATGAGGAAATCTTCTACTACAATCCTCCACTGTGCCGAAGTGATCCTATTGGATTTCGATTAAGTGGCACAGAACGGTCGTTTCCTTCTGCTATATGTATGTATATGCGGAATCACTAGTCCATCTTGCCACATACGTAGTTAACACAATGTTCCAACGGTCGGTATGACCTACTACTTGCAAGAATGGAAGAATGCCAATGGGAAACGTTCAAATTAAAAGAATGACAGATTAATTAGGGCTTCGATCAAAATTCTGAAAATCCAGAATTTTTGGAAACGTCAATTGTCTTTCTGTCACAGTATGTATCTTGGAAAGAGATAGAAAAGAACGATCTCAGAAATTGATTGCTAGGTCCAGATATTATTGTTCAGAAGAAGCAAATAGAAATTTCATTTTTGGAAAAATCAATTTTTCGTCACATTTGTATATTTCTCGACCACGGTATGTATTTTGGAAAGAGATAGGAAACAGTGGTATCAAAAATTAATTGCCAGGTCCATATATGGTACTTTAGAAGAAGCAAATAGGAATTTCATGGAAGAAGACCAGGGAGAATGCATTTTATGCAAGGAGGGATTAGGAAGTCTAAAAAATTGGGTACAAGAATGTAGAGGAGTCGAGAATAAAGGTATAAAGTTGGAGGAAATAGTGGAAGGTAGAGATAATGAGGAAGTAATAGAATGCTTAAGAAGACTAGAGGGGAAAAAGGAGGAGGGATTAAGACTGGCGAGGTAGCTTGCTCAGGAGTACAAGAAATTACCAAAGAGGGAGGATGTGTAAGGAATATGAGGCTAAATAGAAGTGCCTAAGTGATAATATATAGCGAGTGGTAAGAAAATCCCATTTTGCAGGCGAAAGATTAATGAATATATATATACAGGGTGAGCCACGTGAAACAGGCCACCTAATTAACTTCTCCCTAATTATCCACTCTAATTATCGTCTTAATGATGCTTTATTGAAGAACGATAAAGAATAGAATTGACAGTGTTGAACAGTTCGAGTCTCCCTTGAATCTGTCTAATTGATGCAGAAAAATGTATCAAGAAAATTAGCAAATTTTTCAATTAGTTAATGGAAAACTTAGACCGATTAATTGTTGGCCAAATGAAGGAAAATTGCAGGAAATACTTACTCGGGTATAAGACAGAAAATCACGAGAGAATGTTCACTGCATTTTCCGTAGAGAATGCAAAAATTCCAATTGTCCCTGATGTTCGGACTCAGGTCGGAATTCAACTGAACTTTGCGAAATTGCAGGACTCACTTTCACGTTGAACAACATACGAAGAGATTGCACGGTAGCTTAATATTGTATAATTATTTGAACGAACGTAAAAGTTCGTTGATAGCATATGACAAAGGCAACTTCTACTAAATAAAAGAATACATAGTAATTTAGAAAATATTGCTTGGTATCTGTTCATCAGAAATTAATCTCAGAATTTATATTTCTTCTAAAAGAAGCTTTTTCTTTCTCTAAAATTTCTCAGGGAAACTTATAGTTTAATATTGTATTTGAAATTTTAGATAGTAAAAGGGTTGATTACTGTAACGAGAAAAAGGAAACAAACGTGAAGTAGAATATACTTAAGATTCGAATCTCTGGTTACTCGCCACATTTCCCATTTTCATTTGTTCCGTCTGCCTCGATCGAAAATAGTCAAAGAAAACCTCGACCCTCTTTTGGCTCTCGCAAGATAAGCACAGGTCAACGGATACGATGTAATTAAAATTCTCTTGGTCATTACAATATACGAGTTTGGGGGTAGTTTCCGGAAATTCATGTTTCAACTACATATTCTGGATATTTTCGGAGAAGTAACGGAAGTCATTAATAATACACACTCATTAGACGAGACTCTGTGTAGCATGTTAATTATTAAACAAAAATAAAGCTAAGTGATAACACTGCAAACTCTATAAAATAACTTTTTCTCTACAATTCTGTTGAATTACTCCTCTCCAATTATCACCACTGCTTGGAACAATCGACTTTCGCAGCTATCAAACATACTTTTATACGAAATACACAAAGTTAACTTAAAATTACAAATTTCAATAAATATCAAAATAATGTTCACCACAAATTCGCAAAAAGGAGAAAATAATCCCAGAGTACAGAATAGATTTCTAAGTAGAGCTTCTTACCTAAGACTCTCTTCTTAAAAAGAAATCTTAAGAAAGCGTATCACCTTGAAATTTCCAAAAATGGGTAAAAGTTTGAGAATTTTTTTCACAAGTAACCACCGAATGAGAAGCTTCAATTTTTTTTTTCAGAGGATATAAACGTAACTTCCAGCTGTTTCCTCGAATTTTTAGAAAGCAAAAGTTCGCCTACCTTCGCACAGGGTGGTGTGCCTAATTAAAAGATAATCGGACGATGTATAGTGAAATTAAATTAACGAGACAGAACCATCAAAGAGCTTGATCGTTTCTGACAAGAATTCTCAAGAGTGAAAACTATGGAGCTGAAGGTATCAACATGAAAATGACCTGAGGGGCATCGACGACCTCGTAAAATACGAATGTGTCCCGGAAGTATAGTTACACGAATAAATAGAATAGACGGCGCTGCAAGGCCTGAGATTTTCTCTGTGACAAAAGCTCAAGTAAACGTTTCAATATTACGAGGGTGTTAAGAAGCAATGCGTTCATCCTGCGGCGTGTACATAATGACACAATGATACGATTTTATGGACAAGTGGTTTCGCAAACGGTGACCAATCAAACGGCGAATTCCACGGGAGACACTTTAATGTGAACTTCCGTGGTAGCGAATCTAACCTTAGGAACAATCAGCTGACGTCGTTTCAGATTTTCGTTCGTTGCTCGATGCAGTTTAAGCGGCTTATGATAATCGTTTGCTCGTTTGTTAGGAATTTTACGAAGAGATTGTAAACGGTCGAACGAATCTTTGTTTCAATTATTCGGGAATGAAAGTCACTCGTTGCGTGAAATTGTAATAACGGGGGATTTAATGCGTCCACAATTTTCTATTAAAACATTAATGACAAAAATAACTTCCTTATTACGCTCGTGTTCGGGTTTCATTGAATCACACGCTCACATTGCTAAACTATATATACATTAGAATAAGTATGGCTTATAATAATTAGTTAATTGATAATCGAGCCACAGACGTGGCGGAGGTTCCATGCTCGAGAAACAACACACACATCGGATCGGCAACAATTGCCGATCAGCGCGGGTCGCTTTCGCGCATGCGCAGAGCAACACTTCAGCTCGTATATTATATCGAGATATGGAAAAAGGCGGGATGTTGTTTGAATTTAAAATAATCACACCAAATCGATTTTTTTTTAAAGAGTATTCTA